TGCTTTCCTGATAATAATTACCTCATTTTTGAAATCCTAAATTTTCATTGTCAGCTGCTATGGAACAATTGAAAAATCAGACCTACAGACACATGTTAATTGTGTCTTTAACGTCAGTCCTCAGAAATGCATCCCAGACTGCTCTACCTGTAGTGTCTGTGGTGTTTTTACTGTCTGCAGCCATCCCTAGGTAGCCCTTTCTTGGCTCATCCTAGCAGTAACCCTTCTTTCTTCAAGTATATGTTGACACATTTGCGGCAAGTCTAAAAATTGCCCTTGGAACATAGATGTTTTACAGAGCTTGTCTGCTTAGTCTCCAAGTCTTTCATAGTACCTTCCAGTTCTTTCATTTTGTGTTTTTACTTTTTTCTACATTTTTGTTTTTCATAAGATACTGTGGTTTCATCTCTTGGATGTTTTAGTAGGATATTTCACAAATACTGCAGAGGACATGATTAGAGTCACTGTATCCTAATGTCTGTTTCATCACCTCCTAGGGTGAGCCGTATGTCTTAGAGGGAGGAGCTGCCTGCTGCTTGTGTTATGTAAAATAATAAATAATTTATAATGCTGACTGAAAATACCTGCCTTGGTGGACAAACATACATTGAAGTGCTTGACGGGCACTAAATTGAGACATAATCAAAATAATTCCTTGAAGACATGGGAGAATAATTTGCTTTATTTGATTTTTTTTTTTTAAGTGCGGGAGCTTTCCTGTGAGTCTGTGCTTCACTCGAGAGTATTATTGACCCACTTTAGGAAATCCTTAACTGGTGGATCAGTGTGAGCCATAACGGAGGTCTGCAATGTGATTCTGCAAATACTTAGCTATTTTACTGAAAGCAGCTTTTCTGACGTACTGCCTTGTTGCTGATGCCCGCACCTACTCCAGTAAAGAATCACATGAAGCTTTGGATCATGTGGCTTTTTCCTCTCGTCTATCATAATGAAAAAGCATTTTGAAAGGATTAATGGATTTTGTGCACCGCCTTAGAAAGCTGAAGGTGTTGCAATGTACTAACAAATGCCAGTTTTAGTGTAGCTTTAAAGCTATGATGTGTGCATGGAATTTCAAAGAACTGCATCTATATACCGAGCATGGTAATTTAGTGTTAGTGCTTGATGGTATGGATTGATACAACTTCTGCAAGTTATTTTGTTTTCAAGCAGAGACTGTTAGCTTCTATCCTATGGACTGTACCTGCTTTTCCAATTTTTATTTTGGGAAATGAAAAAATTTGTAAACAGAAGAAGCTTGTGTCAACATTCCTCTTCTCAATGTAATTGAGTATTTCTGCAGGGAATAGTTAATGATGATCTGCTTTGCAAGACATAAATGCGGCAGTGACCTGCTCTCATTTAGATGTTGCGGTAGTAGAATGGTGGGGCTTTGCATGATGCATGCTTTCATTGTTTGTGTTAAGCTGCTTGCCTGTGTCTGCTGTGAGCTGGGTGGCTTGTCTCTGCATCGGTTATAAAGGAATACTTATTTTCTGTTTCTTCTGATGAATAAGTATTCTTGATATTTTTTTTTTTTTTTTGCCTCTTGGCTATTAAAACATAATTGTCTGAGACAGTTTTGTGAACATGATCTGTAAATGCACATGCTTTGGATTCATGTTGTGTGCTGTTCTGTCTGCTGAATTTGCTCCTTGGTTGCAAATAGTTAAAACTACCTAAATGCTTTCTATGTAGCACCTTTTTATTGGTAGGGTTTGCAAGTTGATAGCTATATACAGCTGATAGCTTTATATGCTGTCTTGTGTACAATCTGAAGTGTGGATAAACTGTTCAGTGGAATTATTAATCACAAGTATAAATGACAGTCAAATGAATATACTGCTGGAAAGGCATCTTAAAAAAAATCAAGCGTACATATTGATATGGAAATAAGTTGTTTTTCTTTCACCCTCAGCTTTTATTTTGTGAACTAAATTAACTGAGCATTGATTGTATGGGTAATAATGGAAGAAAAGGATTTCATTCAAATGTAGAATATAAGTCACCAGATTTTCTACTTCTAAGATTACATCTATTCTTGTAAGTTCTAGAGTAGTACTTTTAAGATGTGACTTTGATTAAATTTTCAAATACAGAAATTCAGAAATTTCACTTCCTCAGCTTAAATTCAGGTTTTGCATAGGTGTATCTTTCTCAGATAAAGGAGAAAGCAATCAGAAGACATTTGCTGTCCTTAGTTAAAATGCTTTAACCTCAATGCAATGGATATTTTGGCTACATTTTAACTTTAACCTCTGCAATGGATATTTTGGCTACATTTTAAAATTGATCTGTTCATTAAGTCATATGCTATTGAAATGAAATTTTACCTTTTTTCTAGTGTGTACAACTTACAGAGAAAACAGAATGAGTCCCCACTGTCAAACTGACTGTAGTAAAAGCACATTCAGAGTCATCTTAATATTTGTAGCACATGATTAAATAAACACTGAAGTTACCAGTAAAACAGTGAAGTTTTTTAGATTTGCATTTAGAGGAAATCTTAAAAGAAATGTTTCATGCTTCAAAGTATTGTGTGACTCTCATAAAACGCTCCTTTGAGGTTTATGCTCATTAAACACTTCTGAAATGAAATAATAGTATGCCCAAAACTCTTACATGTTCTCTTAAAAATCCTTTTATTCCCTAACCTGCTTTGGTTTTACTTGTCAAGCCTTTGGAGGACTTGAAGTCCATAAAAAGAGTGAAAAGCCCTTACCTGAGTACTTGCAAAAAACAAAGCTTCATTATTTGGTTTCTGTTATACTTAAAGTTACAACCCAGTGAATTAAGGTATAATCTTTGCACTGAATTGCATTGCAATTCAAAATGTGGTCCAATATCCTAAATACATTAACACTCGAACTGATATTCTAAAAAAGTCCCATGTATCCAGTGTGAATGCTTTTAACAATTAACAAAAAGCCTATTATAATAGATATTTTAAAGCCAAGCTTTAAAACAAATAGTAGGACTCATTCTTAAAAATGGAGCTTTTAGCACTTTGGTTGCTATGCTTATGTAGCTATTTTTCTAGGACTCTTGCTTAGTATAAAATAACTTTAAATGCATGATTTACAGCAGAAATTACTAAACGACTAATACATCCTTATACTATAACTTAATAAGTATATCTTGTGTTCTATCATTTTCACTCTAAGCTGTCATTAAACATAAACTTCTATTTCTGCTAGTTCAGATAAGTTGCAATAATTCTAATTTTTTGATAAATTAAGAAATGAACTTAAGATGTGCCTTATTAAATTTCTTGAATTTGCAAGTCGTCGTCGTCGTGGTGTGTCCCCCCCCCCCCCCCCCCCCTCTCTCTCTATTTTTTTTTTTTTT